ATGTGTAAACAATTTTCCTTTTCTTTACGTTTGTTGGCAAAAAATTTGAATGAGTTTGAGAAACACTGAAAAATGGTATGTGGAAGAAAAATTTTTGTGTCTATCTTCGATCTCTTACCATCAAATCTTCCTTTTGGTATGTCATAATGTGGAACATGAACCTAATTAAAAAGCTAATTGCTAATCACAAATTTACAATAATAAATCATAATTTTTATTTTTACAAAATACATTTACATCTACACACAATCATTATATAACACATATCTCCACATCAATATCACAAATTGATAATAGCAAATTATAATTTTATTCGTATAAATATATTTGAACCCGCACACGGTGCGGGAAATCATCTAGTTCTTATTAAAAAATAAGTAATTTAGCAATTCTCTTAAAATGTTACGATTTGCGGGGGTTTTCGTAAATAAAACTTATGCCAGCAGCAGAGATATTTCCCAAATACTGTATAGTATTTAAACAATAACAGATATTACCAAATCGTAAGATTCTTTTATCAAGAATCTGAGTAGATATATACAACTTAAGAATTTCAAAGCAAATAGATAAAAGTAGAAGAAACGAATTATTATTTTCCTAACCAAACAAGCAGAAGAAAAAAAATTAAAACCCTTATTATAGCCAATACCAATAAGCAGATCATTCTTCTCAAGCATCAATCTTGAGATTAACATCCCTGGAGGATGAGTTCGCATCGATGTTTCTGTTTTCAACTTCATCAAAATGGTCTTCACGGGCGTTATCAGCAAGCATCAGAGCAACCAACCAGAAAAGGCACGAGTCCAATGACACAAAGGCACCTCCACCAAGCAGACCGGTCTTAGCTGTGGGGCAAGTGGACTCTAAGTTACGGTGAACATTTCGAGTCAAGTGAAGTTGCTCTGTAATGGTTGGCCATAGCAACAGAGACAATGCAAGTCCAGATGTTATCCTACAATACAAAACCATAGGCCACAAACCAACTCTTGTTATAAAATCAAAATACTACATCAATGACTCGGGTTTTCGGTGTTTCACATATGTATTTGCTGAAACTAAATGAGATTGAAAAGGAGAGGATATGGATATGCTTACAAGGCAATAGTATAGAACACAAAGAAGGTGGTGCTTTTGAACAAGACAGACTGAGGAACAGACTTTCCCTTGTAAGAGATGAACAAGGAGATGTATCCTGCTACAGTACATGCAAGGAGAAAGGCAGCAGAAAGGTATCCCAAGGCAACACTTGGATCAGATGGATATTTGCAGATAACTACTCCCTTTCCAGTTATCGGAGTCCCAGACGTAGGCTAAGGTGAAAAAAACCCAAAGACCATAAACAAAGCTCAGAATCAGATAACAATTATGAATAAGAAAAAGCCGACTGGAACAATGATAATGTAATTACTGATGAGGTCAACTAACATCCTCCATTGAGCAACATGAACAAAAAGATAAAACAAACAACAACCAAAATCATCCTAAACAAACAGTAAATCAAGAAGCTATGGACACAAACTTCAAACAATTAGTTTCTCCATGGTTATGAATCTGTAACAAGGTAGTGCAGGGGATCACTGTTTGATACATACACAGCTGAAAACAATATCTGAATCAGTTTCCTGTGACAAGAACAAATCTAACTTCCTCAATTCAGTAACATGAACAAAGGACAAGCACAGATAACAACCAAAATCATCCAAAACAACACTATGAACACAAAATTAAAGGTTGTCTCGCGAATCCTAGATCGATAATCATTACCTTCTTATTCTCGGCGATTACTCCAAGAACAAACGACAAGACGCCAAACGCAGAGACGATCAACGACATCTGTTTCATACTAACCGCCATGTTTTATCTTCTTCTCCGGTTACCCTATACCCAATCACAGAGAGATATATAAAATTCGATTTCCCCAAACAGAAAAGAGACGAGAAAATCGACTCGACGATTAGCCGTCGGAAAATTGAACGCGATTGAAGAAAGTAGCAAAGAGACACTCACCGAGACGACGAATCTGGAGATCGGATTGAGAGAGGTGAAATCGGAGGATATGGTTTGTTTGATGATAACTTCTTCTTCTCCTCCAGTTGCACTGAGAATTCGGATGAGCCCTAAAAAGTCTCCGCGTTCACGAGTGTTGATTTTGGGCTCATTAAAGATTATGTTGAGCT